AGAATTTCTCTAACCGAATGATCTGGAATTATTCTGAACACTGAAGCATGCTAGCATCGAAAGTGACGTATTCGTCACCAACAGATCTACTTTTTATTCTCAGTGATATAAGATAATTTTGAATTGGAGAATAACTGTTACACAAATGCCACCCGTGTGATATCAGAAAAATCACCAGTTTTACATAAATGTTTTCTGTAGGAAATTTTCTACAGAACTACAAGAGACCCATACTATCTGAACAAAGGACAAGTCAATCTTGATCAATGTGAAGAATTACCTATAATTCTTTCATTTGACTGTAACATAGCATCGGATCGAAAAATTTTAAAAGTGTATTCGGTCAAAACCGATGGCAAATTCGTCTTCTCCATAGTCTATTCTCTGGTACGTGATAACTTTTGAATCAGTATTTGCAAATAGATGCGGCTTATATTTTCTTCTCCTCTCCTCATTGAATTTTCACCAAAATATCAAGCAGAATAAAAGTCTAGCTTATTTTGCACGCGAATAAAATGGCAAATAAATCAATAAAAGAATAGAAATAACCTAAAAAGTACCGAAAAACTGTTTTCTCTGTTCATTTTTAAATGCAAAACTGGAACAAATACTGATCTAGACAAGAGATTTCTTTCTCTGTTCTGTACATATGGATCAAACTACGTGTTTCAACAAAATATTAAACTAAAAATTAAATAAGGCTTGGGCCTTCTCCTCAGTCTCTCGAGTCCGCAGCCTATGCATCCAATACTGAATTTTTTATTATACAAACATCAACACGTATCAGAAAATACTGCATAATCTGTATGATTATGATATACCATGCTCAACTTTTACATCTAGCTACTTGCAACAGACTGGTCATTTGAATGAATGCAAAAAAACTAAAATTTTTTCATACCGTTCGAAAGAGCAGAGAAAACTACATGGAGTAGTAGTATTGTAACTAAAGAGAGTGATTTATTCTGTTAAAACGGTTTACTTGAATCTCTCACTTACGACATTTACTTAGATTGCATTTTTCGACGACTTAACGCTTGCCTGAAAGTTTTTCAATATGATACGGTTAAAATGACATAAACTCTGCAGAAAACAAGCTATTGCACGACTTCCTGTTATAAGTAACTGAGGGGTTGTGAATGAGTCTTTTTCATCTATGATTAATTATCTGAAAAACCGCTGAACTTCATCATACAGAATATCAATTGTACCCATCAATCCCATTTTAGATGAGCAATTATATAATTTAGTATATAATTCGTTTTTTGTATCATTTGTAATTTGAGCTCTACCCTCTTGAAAAAACATTTTTTTTCAACCCTGTACATGTTAAATTAAATTGGTCATTTTGTATATCTGTTTGTCTTGATGTTATTGATAATTTATATGAAAATGAATAACCCCCCCCCCCCTCCCATAATAGAAGACCACCTGGTCTTCTATTTTGTCTCTCAAGTCAAGTTCCAAACGGTGGTCTTCTATTGCGGTCAGATTTTGTCGCCTGCTAGTAGTCCAATAGTAACCTCACGTACTTGAAGTCCGTCCCCTATTAGAAGTTCTTTTTGGCGAAATTTTTTTAAAAATTCCCCTATAGGTAGGGTATTTTCCGATTTTTTTCGCGGACATAATAGAAGACCACTGGTCTTCTAGGATTTAGAAGACCATGGTCTTCTATTTGGCTTTCAAGTCATATAATCGGCAGTGGCCTTCTAATGGTATATTTAATACATAATAATAATAATAATCACTTTTTTTAGAAAAGAAAATTGTTACAATAGCCAATGTATCTACGTATATTTCATAAATATCACAATATTTTAATGTACATGGGAATGGTAATGATGGTATTAAAACTTGTTGTACAATTAAATATTAATTTTCTGTTTTTATTAAATATTGAAAAATGGTATGGAATTGTTCATTTTGGCTGATCGACGAAACAGGTTCTATTGATCTTATACACAATGGGCACATCTTTTAACGAACATAGTAGAATATTTGGGCGTTTCAAACGAGTTTTTCTCTATATGGACAGTAGTAGTATTACGTTTTAAGTCGAGTAATTGTCGAAATAAAATAAAGAACATATCTTTAAACAAAAAAAGGCTATTCAAAAAGAATATCTTTGAGAATGAAAATTTGTCGAAAAAAACGTTTTTTTCAAACAAAAACTCATATTGTGCATGGTTCAACGCAGTACTGCGAGCTAATTCTGAATATTATATTGATTTATCTTTAAAAATTGTTTTTTGAAGGAAAAAATTAGATTGTATCTCAAAAACCAAGAGTTTTTAGAAAGTCCATAGCTTAATCCAAAAACATCATAGCGAGTTTTCATTAATATCGTCGACACAACAAAGATGTAAAAATATCTGGAAAAAAACTGGAATAAGAGTGGAAAGGCATGAGGCAGCTATTATTTTATATATTGGAACATAATTTTTTGAAAACATTTTTAGCATCAAAACAAATTTTTTTCTCGTCGACTGTAAGTTCAATTGAGATAATTTTCTCGTTAGTGACAAACGCAAACACTAAACATTTTTATTGATGTCTTTTTCTAGTGAAAATATTTAATAAACTTGCTGAAATAGTTAAAATTAATTAAATATAACGATTTTTGAGCATATTTTGTAGTATGAATTCTTCCATCGTTTTACTAGAGATGAAAACTTTTTATTGTGAGAAAAACCTAGATTAAATATTGATATATTTGTTTCAATATTCAAATTCTGAAAAAGAACATCTTCACCATACTGTATTTTAAACTTATACAAACGGTGAAGATTAAGTGCGTCAGATTCTACACGTCGAAAACTGATTATCATATTGTTTTCTTTTTGACATCTTAAGATTCGATCACGATTACAATTTTCTGACAAGAGTAACTGTTTTAGCATCATTTTTCTTCAAGAATATGAAGACAAGTTATGAGATTGTTTCTACATGTAAAATTTTGATTTCGTCTATAGTCAAGTTGAAATATATTCTATTCATTCATATAACCGATTTGGTCATTAGAAGAGTCTGAAACAAAAATTAAACGAAAGAACGAAAAGAACAAAAAGATTTTTTTGATAAAAACAACACCGCTTTCATCTATATTATCAAGCTTTCTTCTTTCTTCTTCTCATATACAGATAACAACGATTTCACACTGGTGACGACGAAAATTCTTTTTAACTATACGTACAACCTAGGGCAAATTACTAAAAACATGGTTAGACATGAATATGCATAAAAGGTTACTGATGTTAATCAAAGTTGGAGTTTGTTAACCTAAACCGTTATTGGAATATATTTGAAACCAATTTCATAGGAGGATGAGCTACTTACTTATCAAACCTGTCTATTCAGTGTTCTTTCCAAGATAATGTTGACCTGTTGACTATGAACTTGTTTCTATAAGCACTTTAGACTAATGCATTCTTGTTGAGAGAATTGATGGTCACCGACAGTGTTTAGTTTTTTAAAAATATCGGCATTAGCGTCGTCAGTTTGGATTGACTGAAAAGAAAAAGAAGTAAGTCCCTTCCCATGTCACAAATGTTCTGTTTTGCTTTTTGGCTACTAAAAAGTTCTATTCAATTCAAAAAATTGCATAAAATAACGGATGTTTGACGATAAAATCTATCGTATTTTTGAAGATAAAATGTTTTAGAGCTAAAGTAAGAAATCGTTAATAAATCAACACCATGTATATATAATTATTGAGTCTTTTGCTCGGGGATGTGTCAGTATGCTCGAGAAAAATGTCGGCTTTCAAAACCAAACCAAACTGTTTAAAAGTAAATTTTCTCTGTTTGATTCATAATTGCTATTTTAGTTGTATAGTACTGAGAAAAATGAAACTATAATCGTTTTCGTACCTCAATAACGGACACTGTTTTTGTATAACTTGGCGAGGAATAGAGCCAAGGAGTTCGGATTCTCAACGTTTTCAGCCCAAAGCTTGAGCAATTGTTTTCGTAAGGAAACCGGTTCAAAAATCTTCTCTAAAACTTTGATTTTAGAAGAATTTTTGAAAGACCGGTTTGAATTACCAAACTTTTGAAACAGCAGCAAGTTCATTTCCTATCGAGATAAATAACCATAAGTGTCTTTTAAAAAATGACATTTGTCCGGATTCTTTATCGGTCATACTTTAGGCGTAGAATCGAATTTCTTGGGATATCAGCTCAAAAGCAACTAAAAGATAGATTACTGACTACGTTGAAAAATTTGGGCCTAGTTTGTTTTCATTAAAAATTTCTAAAACATAGTTGAAACCTATTTTAGATGAAATTACCCGTTTTAGGCTAATTTCATGCTAAACTGAAATGTTCAGTAACTCACTCGATATCGATTCAACGTAATTCAGAACTTCAGAATATACTGTGTTTTAGCTGCTTTACAGTTTGAAACATATATATTAACTTTAAGAGTCAATGATGTGTTTTTTCAATCAAAATCAGATTAGAAAATGACAATAGACAGCAAACTTCGTTAAAAAGACGTATATGAGAATGAGATAAAAACGGTAATAAATCAGTGAGAGTGATTAGTGAGCAATGACGTTAAGATGACTGTATTAATGTATAAAATCCTAAGAAAATTTTTAAGTTCAGAGTAAAATCGAATATCAACTGAAAAAGTTTCATGTCAAGATGATATGAACCCATTAGTAAAGTCGAATCGACAGTCTATTAGGTCATTTAATAGTAACTAAAGAATCTGTTAAATACCGTAAACTTATGCATTTGTCTCCTAGATTAAGAAGAAGTACTCGTAATTCAAACAAGATAGTTCGTCTTGAAAACGATGACCTAGAACGAGATCGTTAATAGGATAAGTTGTCCTGTTTTTAAACATATAAGAATATGGCTATGATTTATTCAATTCGTCATTGCAGCTATAGACTCATCACACATTTGTTATTGACACTATCAATTTTTTTTGATTTTCTAAGCCCAAAATACAATATATCATCAGAATAACAAAACTAAAGAGCGTCGCTGTCCATGTTATATAAGCAAGGTAATTTACTACTTGAAGCAAAAAAATGAGAGAAAGATCGTTGCATCTTTCTTCCTCTAGCTACTATTCTTCTTTTTTTAATTGTGTGTGTGTGTTTTATTCATTTTAGTGTATATACATCACATTTGACTATATGGTTCATTGATTACGGAGTTTTTGTCACGTACATTCGTTTGTTGTAACAAAAAAATCATCTTTCAAAAAAGTGTGTGTGTGTGTGTGTACATATATATATCATTTTAAATGATCTATGCTTTTTTTTGTTACTGCCTACCATTTACTATCATGTCTGGTTCATTTATAGATTAAAAATATTTTTTAAAGAAGATTTCTTCTAATTTATCGTCTTCTTTTCTGTTTGTATAGTTAATTGTCTTTTAACTGATATCTAATCATAATGACTGATATATCAGATACAAATCATAAAGACAAAAAACCATCAAAAAATGAAGATGGACAGAATGAAGAGAAACAACAAGATAATAAATTATTATCGTCATTAGATGAAGAAAAACGTCGATCTCAACAGCAACAACAGAAATTACCACAATTAAAACAAAATAACGGTATAGATGGAGATGATTTTAAAATACGCGAAGGTGACCAACAATATTTGACAAATTTTCAACGACAAAAAGCAAATTATTTCTTCGAAGTTAACTTGGGTAAGCATTTTATTAGGTACATCTGGTTTTGAGATAATATTGCATCTTTCAGAGTCCGGTTGATCAAAGCATTGAGTTGTATATGCCACTAGTGCATCAAAACTGCGTTGAAAATATTTTTCTTGATGAAAACGAATGGTTTACTGTTCAAAAACGTTTAAAAATATGGAAGTAAAAAGAATAATAAAAATCGAAGAGTTGCATCCCTTTGATTTGTTTTGATCTTTCGTTTAAATTGGTAAAAAAATAACAGTCCTGGTAAAACAAATGCATATATCGAACTTATATTTAAATGGTGAAGGAATTTATGTAAAAAAAATGATTAGAAATCTTTATTTAGATTAGATCTAGGCTCAATCTATTTGATTAAAGCTTTCATTATTCTAAAATTTAAACTATCAAAACACAAAATGAATCCTTGTACGAAGCTAGATATATATAATATACGAGCTTGATCTTTGCAGATAAACTGCAAATATCACCTTCCTATTTATATGAGATAGAATATCATGTATTTGCAGTTTCATAGAAAACTGGCAAATGACGCTATTAATATTATCGAGAATTTGTCTTGTCGTGATTTTCATTCAAAATTTATGCACACAATATTTGCTTCTATGATAGTATGAATAACAATATTCTATCTAAAATCGTTAAGATTCACCTACACTATTTGACATATTCTTTGTCAAGTGTTTTTGTGAGATTAATTAGTTATGAACGATGTTCAACCTTAATGTGTATAGAAAAGTGCAATCACTTTTGTATTTCGAGTTAACTACCCTATTAAAATGATTTAAATGAATGAGTTTGTATTTGAATAAGAATGACATGTGTATTATAGATAAACTCTCATCACATTTAATCAATGTCAACGATCTAGTTGTATGATAAAATCATTTTATTGATAATGTTTTATCATATCAGATGAATGTTATCATATACTATCAATGTATTTTTCTTGGTAATTTTTAAAATATGTTGAGTCATTAATCAAGAGATTCAAATAATATCCAAATATATTATTGTTTAACGGATTCAAACCTTGGATTGATTATTTTCGTAGTCTTTTTGCTTGAAGACCCGTTTAGTAACCTTTACTGAGTAAATTTTTTTCCACATTATTTTGAAGCAAAACTCATCTTATTTAGATATCGAAAACAAAAAATATTTGACATGGGAAGATGTAGAGTTTTATCTATTGGTAAGTGGATTTTTATCATAGACGTGACACATTTTTTATTCATTTTTTTTGGTCTATTCTAGTATCATCTGACAATTGCCAATAAAGAAGGAGTTGGTAATTTGGAACAAGATTTGTCTCGTAAAACACGTGAATTATGGGCGTTTATTCATAATACTTATCCAAATGCCGATCAACAAGTGCTGACTTTATCTCAATTCTTAGACACTTGGGGAGCATTATCCGAATATATCGTAAAATATAATCAAGTACCGAAATCGTTTGAAGAATGGTTTAAGTTAGGATTTGATTTATATGATTTTGATGGTGAGTATACAGCTGAGTACTCGAAAAGTATATGAAAATCACGCATTGTTTTAACACTAGGTCGTAATGAGATTCCTCCAGTATCATTTCAAAAATTGTACAAAAAAATGAACTTAGATTTACGATATGCAATGTTTGCTCATAAATTTTTGACAGAGGTATGCCACTGTTGTGAATGTATTCTATTACTTCGAGAACACAGATAATGCAAAGAGGAGATATCGAATCTGAATCGAAGTGTGTTTCAAAATTTGAGTAGATATAGATATCAAGTGTCAAACTAGGGATTTTCCATACTGTGATTGAAGAATGTAAACCGTTTTGTGTACTAAAAGAAAGTATATTGACTTTATGACAATTTGTTTCTACTTTTGTTTTTAGAGTGGCGCGAAGCCATTGGATTTTGAACGTATATTAGGCACAATAAAAGCGTTAATAACATCATCTGATGACGAACATTATAGTCACTTTCTATTGCCAGGATTTTTTAAACAAATCAAGTCGCCAAACGCTCAAAAGAGTACTGATATCGTCCATATATTTTATCACAGTCTAAAAATATTCTTCTGTTTCAGATAAGAAATCAGACAATATTGAAACTAAAAATGGCGACGAAAAAATATCGAAAGACTCATCAGTTCAACCAGGTAGCGAGAGAAAATCAAGTAAAAAGCATCAGCAACAAAATGGTCAAAGTTCACTAAGAGGTCAACAAAATGCTCCCTTCTTTATTAATCCTATGTTTGGTAGACCAGCCGGTTTCATGCCTCAAGGTTTCCGTTCACAACATCAATATGACAGTGTTACGTCTCCAACTTTACAAAAACAACAATCGAGAAAAGAGAGTCAACAACAAATTCAAGGTCAAGAGATTCTTCCACAACGTTCGCCTCAAAAAGATAATGGAGCTTCATTTCCTGATATAGGTAATTATCAAATTCTTACTCCCATCAGTAGTGAGCCTATTGCTGATGATGATGAATATATTCGAACTGTTTTGCGTGAATTGAATATCGACATTAGCGAAGTTGAAATTATCGATGGTAATAATCAACGACGTATTTTGTCGGATAAAAATAATGAAATCAATGAACAAGGACCATATCGACAACCTTCGAATGTTTATCCAAATTTACGACAAATACCACCAATACAGCAGCAACGAAGACATGATTATCCATCAAATGGTAAACATCAAGAACAGAGCCAATTACTGACAGGTATGGTTTGAGAAACACTTACGAGAGATTTTACAGTGATAAAGAGCATGTTCACATCGAAACACAATCATCTTTTAAATTCTGTTATATTATTCTAAAGTTAGAGATACGAAATTACGGGTCAGAAGCGAGAAACTAACCACTTTTGAAAAGGCTAATCTGCTCCTCTCCTAAGTATCAATCTTCTTCGTAGGTTTCAATCAACTAAGACAAGATGGCTTGGCTGCTATTATTCAAGCTCACGAGCATCCCGATCAAAAGCATACTCAACAAAAAGTGCAACAACACTCTTCTCAACAGCAAGCCTTATCAAAGCCTCGCACATTTTTCTCTCAGCAACGACCGCAACAACCTCCAAGTACCCCGTATTCTCAACCACCGTTTTCCTACTTATCGCAAGGCCAACAACGCCCACATCAATTTCAACCTCAACAGCGCGTTCCTTTGGAACCGACAAAACCGTTTGCTGAACAACAACGATCAACAGGAATTCGTCAAGTTTATCCTCCGTTTGAGCATCAACAAAGACCATCGAGATCTGAAAATATTTCCCAAAATCAATATCAGATAAATATACCACAATTGTTTCCTCGTCAACGCCAAGAATCGAACCAGTATTTGGGCGAGCAAAGATCAGGATTATTCACGAATAAAGTAAGTTGCGCTAAACTTCTAACAAAAAACTCTTTCTACTCTTAAAAAACTTTCTCTTCAGAAAGAACAGAAAGTAAATCTTAGTGACTATGCTTGGACCAGCACACCTTGAGTAATAAAGTCGGTACTTGCCTTTTTTTCTAGTAGTAAACTTACTTTTAAGCACTTGCCTCACTTGACGGCAAGTAAAACTGCATATGCCTTCACAAAGTACTTTGTATTAAAAGAATCAAGTATTCCAACGCTTCGGTGTTTCTCTCTCTTTATTTCAGACAAAAACGGAGGATACATCTCCAAATCGGCATGATCGTAGTAATAATAGCAGCAATCACTGGCCACAGTCGACCTCGACGAATAGGAAAGATCAGCATCCGCCAACTGTAAAAAGTCCTCAACAGCAAGAAAATGATAAATCAAGTCCAACAGCTTCAATTAACTTGTCTACCGAAGATGTTACCAACACTAATCAGCAGCAAACACCTTCTGCTTCAGCAAAAAAAGCTGATGATAACAAAAAACCAAATGAATTAATCACGCCTAAAGAAGAAGATGAATGTATCAGTAAGATTCTTCGACAAGTGACACCGTTCGTTGAGAAATTAGTCCGTGATGAAGTGAGAAAAACGATCACCAAAGGAAATAGAGGGGGTGCATCGACTGATAGCGACGATGATGAAGAGATGATTATGGCTAGCGATGGAGCGTTCTTTGATGCAAATCCATTTCAATTCTTGTTTGGTGGTGGAGGACCTTTCATGCATCCAAGAAATGGGGGTCGAGGAATGTTTCCCTCTCAAGGTCAAGATCAAAATTCACAACCACCCCAGAAACAACAACAGCAGTCGAGAAGAAGACCAACTGATCCATTTCAGAGTAATCCAAAAGAGTTTCTAAGAGAAGAAAATTTTTCCAATGATCAACCGTTTCAAGGTGGACCCCAAAATGACGAGGAGCCAACGCTGAAGAATACTGTAAGTACTACTATTTAAAAAATGATCTTTTTTATTAGGAATAAGCAATTTGTTTTCTGTTGATTTGCTTAAAGGATCGCTATGATATAAGTGACCCAATGTTCTATACAGGCGATTCGTTTGGCATGGGCCCTTCGCCATTTATGCATCCGGTGTTTATGTCAATGATGGGTGCACCGATGTTCAGTGGACCTGGAATGGGAGTGAACGGAAATTCATCAGGTGTGAGACCGCAAGGACCAAGAATGGGCAGTGGGCCAATGGAAGAAGGTATATTTTATCTTTACCATTACTTTGTAGTTCATTTTTGAAGAAATTTCTTTTAGGTTACATTCTGATTATGGGTAATGAAGGTGACCATGATAATCCTGGCCGAGGTCGACGACCACCACCATCTGCTCAATAAATATTTTTCCTTTACGCCCATGTATTACTGCAACTGAATATATTATTGTTTTTTGTTAGTATCAGATACTCAAATTTTCCTTCTTTTGGTATTCATTCTTTTACAAATAAAACTGAATTAAAAAAAGTACAGGTGCATGTATTAAGGCGCGCGTAATTCACAGTTCATACGCTATTTTATATTTGATCGAGTCACACATCATTCGAAAGTGGAGAATAAACTGAACAAGACTAACTTGGTTTTGGCCTTCCCAGATCAAGTTTTCCGTTCAAAAAATTGAAAATACTTTGAGAGCATGAAAAACCGGAAAACCGTCCCTCCCGAAAAATGCGTACATTGTTTCTACGTTTCACTTTTTCTTGATTCGTCGTCAAAAATTAAACTTAAAAATGTATCTTACCAGCTCGTAGCCTAGAACTTGGACTGGCAGAAGACTCATGTTACGGAGGGTTCAAAAACCGGGACCCCATTTCAAAAAGCTATCTAGGTTTTTGTGTGAGGAGATGGAACCCTGTGACATATGCCATTCGAACCGCCTTGATTCATACGAAACAAGTATAACTTCGGATTCTTGGAATTTTTGTCCACTGCTGAGAAATTTCGCTTTTTCTAAATCAGAAGCGAAAAGATCGGAATTGTGCCAGTAGTTCTCAGTTTTCTTTTCCATAACTCATCTTTTATGCAATAAAAGTAGTTCTGAGACCGAATCGAAAAAAAAAATGTTTCGACGCGTCAAGGTGAAATGTAGAAAAAATGCTTTCGTTAAAAATTTTTCGGGACGGACGGCTTTCCGGTTGTTCAAGCTCTCAAAGTATTTTCAATTTTTTGAACGAAGAACTCGATCTGGGGAGGCTGGAAACAAGTTATTCTTGTTCAGCTCATCCTCCTCTTTCGAATGATGTGTGATTCGATAGAATATAAAATAGCATGTGAATTGTGAATTACACGCGGATTAGATACTTTCTAAAAAAAATTTCCTTAGTGAGTGTTTATAAATAAGTATCTTACACATATATACTAACTCTCAAATTATCTCAACGATTTCGACCAAACACATCGCAGTAAATGTCCAATATTTTTTTTGAGACCGGGCTTTCAACAGTTGGTAACCTCAGATGATTTTCTTAGTAGCGGCTGAGTTTCTTTCACTCATTAGAAAAATGCCTTTGAGAATATCTAGCTATAAAAGTATACTATCGGGCAATATCGGCTTGTGGTAGCTAGACATCCGTACCACTTTTTTTGAGTTAGCTAGCTATATCGGGTATGATAGCTAGCGACTAGATATCGTACCCGATATATCGGATTGACGAAAAACACTCAAATAAATACTTTGTAAGTTTGTGAAGTATATGTTTCACATATATAATACAGTGGCTGCAAAACAAAAAGGTGAGTAATCCGAGCGTCGATATATCTAGTAATATATTGGGCTAGGTAGCTATATCTAGTAACGTATCGTATTAGCTAGGTATATCGCCCGATAGTAAATGACCTAATTCGAATTCCTAGCTAGCTATATCGGGTAGTATATTGAGTTAGCTAGCTAGACCACCCGATAATCGATATTTTTTTCCTGCTTGGGATTCATGTGTAAAGCCTATAATGCAAGACATGCAGTGCGGCTTTGACTTTAAAATTTTGTCGATAAAAGTAAAATTTATTAGTTGTCTCATACCGTGTATTTTCGTCGTTCCATTGAAGATGAACATCTCGTTGTTGATAGTTATATAGAATTACACTACAGTAGTGACACTACTGTGTAAGAACGGCCAGTAAACGGTAAGACCAGAAAAACAGCCAGTTAACTGTCTGTAAATGGGCCGTTAACCACACAGTTAGAGAGCATTTCAAAATGTATGCCAGTCGCTTGGCCGCTCTGCCATTCTAATTTATTTTATTTTGTTTACTTCGGTTCCTTTGATTGTATTGTGGATACATATATACATTGGCATACATATTTATATAGTTCCAAATTACACTATCCCTGTATTTCTCTATTATAGAACATTTGTATACTATATAGTTTACATATATCGAGCTTGATTTTATTTCGTTACTTCCCGAACTCCGCACACTTTTAATAAAAAGTGACTATATCTATATCCCAAACTCTGCACATAATTACATGCATTCGAAATGTACGTGATCTCAAGCTCCGCACACTTTTTAATTAGCAAGTAAAACATGGACTGCAAGAAATAGAAAAATATATGATTATATCATATGGACCTGAATTTAAAAGATCACGGAAAAAACATGCTTTGGATCACGATTGGCTGAATTGTGAAAAAAAACATGGAAAAGATCCGGGTTACGAAAATAAAAATCTTTTATGCCAAAAACATTAATTTGATCACGGAAAAAAATCTAATTAAAGCTATGTTACGAAAAACATCGTTTAGATCACGGAATATTACCAAGTGGTAGTTCAGACATTGCACTGGTAATTCCAGCTGCACCATCTGCCATGGCATGTGAAATGGTATATGTTTGATAATTAATCCGGCTTGCACACACTTGAAGTTCTCGAAAAAATGTTTTGTACGTGGTAGCGGACTCATCCGTAGAGATAAGACATAGCCCCATAGGATAAAATTTCCGATTCATATCGGATGTTCCAAATACTGATAATGGCAAAGCATTAGATGTTACTTTGTAAGTACAATCAATGGCCAATACAGAAGAATGTAGACATGTTGATAGTAACTGACGTGTTGTCATAAATATAAATGTGTTGTTAACATCGACAACATGAAAATATGGTACAAATATTTCGTGCATATCTATTGGACCTGGAATGGCAGTTCGTTGCAAACACCACGCACGTAATTCTTCGGTAAATTTGATACATGACCGATTTTCCTGTTGCCTATACTCAACGACACTTTTTATTTTTGAATCTATCGATAGATCGGGATGCAAAACTTTCACAACCTTTTTAATCTGTAATGGTGTCAAGCCATTGTCAGCCATATCGCGAATATTATGCCGCAGAGGAGAGGAGAGACGAGTTGTATCAGCACGTAGTTCATGATTATGTGACGAGAAATAAAATGCTTCATACGAAACTTACAAACATTATGACTTTTGATGAATGATGAAATATCGTCTTTGACAAGAATTGTAGAAATAACAGACCAATTTTTGCGAGACATTTCAGTAATATAGAATTAGCTTGTATAGAAAATTTCACAAAGTATTAAATGATGTGCTGTGTGTACTTCTTA